CTGACACTGCCTTGTCAATCTGGAAGACATCAAATTCCTTTGTCTGATTTTGGTTTGAACTGAGGAAAATATATTAATGACAAATAGATGAGATGGTTCAGAACACTGGGAATTCACAGGAAGACTTAATATTTCAGCGTGTAACTTGTTCTATTGTCACAGCGTGTGTTGGAAAAATACTACACTGTGATATTCCTTTATTTTTCTAACCCTTGTTTTTAAAAGCATAACCCAGTGGTGGCAGCAAATTTGTTTAACCTGTAAATCTCTCATAGTGTGCCAAACTTATATCAAGAGTGCCCCAACTGGCTCCATTATTCCTTGAATAGCATTCTGTGTGCTGTGGCATAATATAATCTACAGAAGGAAAGTGTGTTTCTCGAAGGATGCACAAATCTTTACGAGTGAAAATTAAAAGTTGATGCATTCAAATCCTACTGATTTGAGTGTACATTTAATCACATGTACACTTTCCCTTTCTGAAAGCATCCTTTCCTTATAAGTAGGCTTGTTCTTACAATCAGAAGTTGGAAGAAAACTTAGAGGTCTTCCAGTCAGGGGTGGGTTCTACTTACCTTTACTACTGGTTTGTAAGGGGGCCGCGCGCATGCGCAGACGTCATTTTGATGACGTCAGGGTCAGTGGGCGGAGCCTCCCACCGGTTTTACTATGGGTTCTATAGAACCGGTGCGAACCAGGGGCAACCCACCACTGCTTCCAGTCCAACCCCCTGCACAAGCAGGAGGCTCTGGACAAATGTCTGTCCAATCTCTTCTTAAAAATCTCCAGTAATGGAGCACCCACAACTTATGGAGGCAACCTGTTCCATTGGTTAATTGTTCTCACTGTCAGGTGTACAATGGTACAATCATAGGTACCATTCAGGGGTGGGATTCAGCCGGTTCGTAACAGTTTGAGCAAACCAGTAGTTGTGACCTGTGGGTGCCCCCCCCAGAGCTATGCCATACTGTTTAGCTGTGTTTTTAAGTTGCGTGCATGCGTGCAAGCATGCACGCAAGCAAATCGCATACACAGAAGACCATGCACATGAGCAAAGCGAGCGTGCCCCCATGCAAGCTCACATTTTCGGTGCTGGGGCGAACCGGTTGTTACCTCTGGTACCATTTCATTTCATTTCACCTCAGTTCTCCAATGCATTCTAATTGGTATCTGAAAGGATAAACTGCTTCTGTTGACAGCACTTCGCTTAAGATACAGATATCAAACCTGTGGCGTCACGTTGACGTCACGTGATGTTTCATGACGTTTTTCCCATTTGTGGAACGGGTGGGCGTGGCCTGCTCGTGATGCATCCAGCCCACGGGCCGCCAGTTTGACACCCCTGATTTAAGACAATCTGAATATTATTCTTCTGATGTTTGACCTATAATGATTCATTTTCATACATGTGTTATATGAGATGATCATACTGTTTTCTGATGCCTTCATCCGAACCCTTTGTACATCTTTTGATTTGATTTTTAAATCTTGATTTTTTTTAAAAAAAATCTCATCAAAGGTTCACAATCCCTACTTTCCTTTGCTTATGTCTCCCTGTTGGTTCTTTGTGGTGATATGAAAAACAACCAATACAACAGATTTGTTTTGACTACTATGTCAACATTGTTCATCCCCTTTCTCAATCCAGGAACATGTTGTATAGCTGGTGATATTTTTCTAGCCTGGAAAAGTCAGACTGCCACACTGTGTGACTTACATATGTCTCAAAAATCCCTCAGAGGCAACTACTTATCATACTGAATGCATGAATAAGCTTCAGTTTGATAGAAACACGAGGAGAGACCTATTTACTCGGAATGACCTTAAATCTCCAGGGCCAAATGAAATGCACTGTAAGGTAGGAAAGGAGCTAGTTGATGGTCACGCTAAACCCTTATATATTATCTTTGGGGAAATCTGAGAGAACTGGGAAAGTGCCAGATGACTGAAGGAGAGCTAATATTGTTGCTATCTTTTTTTTTTAAAGGAGAAAATAAGTGTCTAGGGAACTGCAGACCATGTTGGTCTGAAAATTCTCAAGCATTGTATAAAGAGACAGACTTGTAAGCATTTGTTCTTACATTTGTTCTTATTTGTTCAATATTATTAAATAATAAAGAACGTTATTATTTGTTCTCTAAGAAGAGGGGGTCAACCTATTTTCCAAAGCACCTGGAAGGCAAGACAAGAAGCAATGGATGGAAACTAATCAAGGAGAGAAGCAATCTGGAATTAAGGAGAAATATCCTAACAGTAAGAAGAATTAACCAGTTGAACAGCTTGTCTTTAGAAGTTGTGGGTGGTCCATCACTGGAGGCTTTTAAGAAGAGACTGGGCAGGTATAGGGTCTTCTTGGAATACTGCATTCAGTTTTGGTTGCCACGATGTAAAAAAAAATGTGGAGACTCTAGAAAGAGTGCAGAGAAGAGCAACAAAGATGATTAGGGGACTGGAGGCTAAAACATATGAAGAACGGTTGCAGGAACTGGGTATGTCTAGTTTAATGAAAAGAAGGACTAGGGGAGACATGATAGCAGTGTTCCAATATCTCAGGGGCCACCACAAAGAAGAGGAAAACTAACTATTCTCCAAAGCACCTGAGGGTAGGACAAGAAGCAATGGGTGGAAATTAATCAAAGACAGGAGCAACTTAGAACTAAGGAGAAATTTCCTGACAGTTAGAACAATTAATCAGTGGAATGACTTGCCTCCAGAAGTTGTGAATGCTCCAACACTGAAAGATTTTAAGAAGAGACTGGATAACCATTTGTCTGAAGTGATGTAGGGTTTCCTGCCTGAGCAGGGGGTTGGACTAGAAGACCTCCAAGGTCCCTTCCAACTCTGTTATTCTATTCTATTCTATTCTATTCTATTCTATTCTATTCTATTCTATTCTATTCTATTCTATTCTATTCTATTCTATTCTATTCTATTCTATTCTATTTGCTCCCGGCAGAATATTTTTTTTTAAAGTTTGCTCAACTGACTAAAATGTCCTCTGAGGTATCCAGCTGCCTTGGGCTCCTTTAATAAAATCTGGACATCGCTAACCATTTTCCCAGAGAACAAATGCTTTAAGGTTTTATGTTAAAGCCAGTTGCTGTGTATAAGACATGGATGCCCTAATTACCAGCAGTATATCTACCTACTCTTGTCCTCTGGAACCATCTTAATTATCTCGCTGTGGTATAAGAGGGAGATAATCACTTTTTTCAAAAATAAAAAATCACACTATGCTTAGAAGAACAGCTGGCACCAGCACCTGTAAGAGCAGGTGGCTTTTATAGGCTGCAAACATCTCTCCTATGTTCATTATTGTACACTGGTTGTTAAGAATTTTAATTCTCACCGAATGAAGTATGGACTTATTATGCACAGTCGCTAAAATTTTACAACGTTCCTCCAAGGATTTTAACCATGTCAGTCACAAAATCAATATTGTATCGAACAGATTACTCTTGCCTTGCATCCATCCAACCATTTTTGAATGGTTTTGAACCTACATCTAAACTCTAGCAAGATAAAGGAGATAGTGCTGGATTTCCGGAAGCACAGAGAGGAACCTGCCCCACTGTATATTGAGGTGGGCCGTCTGGCGAGTGTTTCCTCTTTTAAATTCTTGGGAGTGCTCATTAGTCAAGACCTCACCTGGAAAAACAACACGTCCCTGGTGGTTAGTAAGGCTCATCAGAGACTTCATTTCCTTAGAGTTCTGCGGAAAAATCAGGTGGAACAACGGCTGATGACTTCTTTCTATCGGTCCACGATAGAAAGTGTCCTTACCTACTGCATAACAATACGGTATGATGGTTTAACAGCTGCGGACAGGAAGGCACTACAGAGTGTGATTAATTTGGCACAAGAAACCATTGGCTGCCCTCAAACACCACTGGATGACATCGCCAGGTCTCGCTATTTCAGCAGAGTAAGGAAGATACTTGGGGATGATTCACACCCTGGCCAGTGTCTCTTTTCACTTTTACCATCAGGCAGAAGACCCTGAAGTATAGCCAGTCAGACAAATAGGTTTAAAAACAGCTCCTACCCATTGGCTGTCAGATTCCTAAACACAATCACAATCACTCCATGTACATATGGAAATGTATGACTAGTTTTTCCCCCAATTACTTGTATAAGGATTATTCTCTATACTATTCATGTTGTCTTGTATTTTTGTTATGGATTGCACAAGTAGAGGCTAAACCAGTGGTGGGTTTCAAATTTTTTTACTACTGGTTCTGTGGGCGTGGCATGCCTTGGTGGGCGTGGCTTGGGCATGGAAGGGGAAGGATATTGTAAAATCTCCATTCCCATCCCACTCCAGGGGAAGGATACTGTAAAACCTCCATTCCCTCCCCACTCCAGGGGAAGGATACTGCAAAATCCCCATTTTCTCCCGATCAGCTGGACTTGGGAGGCAGAGAATAGATGGGGGGCGGGGCCAGTCAGTATTTTTACTACCGGTTCTCCAAACTACTCAAAATTTCCGCTATTGGTTCTCCAGAACTGATCAGAACCTGCTGAAACCCACCTCTGGGCTAAACCAATTTCATTGTTTACATGATGTTCAATGACAATAAAGGCTATTATTATTGGTTAATCTTTAGTGAGATTCACAGCCTTTGAGGCTGGTTAATAGCTCAGCAGCTCGAGTCCTAACCAAGGACGTAGGAACTGTTAAGGTATCGTCAGAGGATGTAAGCTGTTCCGAGTAAGGTGGTTTTTTGTAGAGTCAAAATATTCAAGTCCGGCAAATTTAGAATTTCTAAATAGCGGGGTAGCCCTTTGGGTATTGCTCCAAGGGCTCCAATTACAATTGGGACAACACACGATTTCTTTTTCCACAGTCGCTCAACTTCAATATGCAAGTCCCGGTACTTTGTGATTTTTTCTTGCTGCTTATCTTCAATCCGTGCATCACCAGGTATCTATTATTATCATCATCATCATCATCATCATCATCATCATCATCATCATCATCATCATTATTTGCTTCTTACCTTTCGACTTCCTCTCATAGAAACTTCTGCCTCGAGGGGGGGGCGCTCTCTGTGTACAGGTGATCCAGATCTTCTTGCCACGTATCTGGATTAAAGTGCTTGAGCAATTCCTCCACAGTATCGAACCCAGCAACCGTTTCATCTAGGGCTTCCACAGTAAGAGTGGGGTCAGTCACTGATGGAGAGCGGTAGGAAATGCCCTAAGAATGACATATAGGGCAGCGTGTTTTGAGCATTATGTAGAAAAGAACAAAGAGATCAAAACAAGTCTTTCCAGATTTAATAACAGCAATGAATTATTACAAGGCTGGAACTAAACATTACTGAAAGTAACCTTTGTGTTCCCTACCATGTTTTCCCCAAAATAAGACCGGTTCTTATATTAATTTTTGCTCCAAAAGACGCATTATGGCTTATTTTTGGGTTAGGTCTTATTTTGGGAAAAATACAGTACTAAATGCCTCCATCTGCTGACGATCTTAACTGGGGCTTATTTTTGGGGTAGGGCTTATATTACGAGCATCCTGAAAAATCATGCTAGGGCTTATTTTCCAGTTGGGTCTTATTTTCGGGGAAACAGGGTAGGTATATGTCTTCGTAAGCAAAAACGTATACATAATAATGTACACATAATTGTATGGGACTGAAGTGTTCAAAGGAGGCACGATGGCTCAGTGGTTAAAGAATGTTGTTCTTGTCAGCTGGAAAGTTGGCAGCCCGGCATCAAATGATGGTGTGAGCTTCCATTACTTGCCCCTGCTCCTGCCCATTTAGCAGCTCGTAAGCATGAAAATGCGAGTAGATAAATAGGTACCACTTCGGTGGAAGTGTAATAGTGTTCTGTGCAGTTTGATGTATAGACATACTGGCCACATGACCACAGAAAGGGTCTTTGGACAAGGTTGACTCCCTCAGCTAAGAAATGGAGATGAACGCTGGCCCCCAGAATTGGACTCAACTGGAAAAGGGAAACCTTTACCTTTTAAAGTGTACAGAGAATGGTTCTTGTTCTTTTCAATTTTAGTGAGAAGCTATGAGATGAAATTTGACTTACATTTTCTTGAAGCAAATCACGGTTCTTAAATAAAGCACATTCTTGTTAAGATATATACTTTGCTTGAAATACAGTAAACGCCAGTCTAGCTTCTCCTCCGTCTGTGCAGAGGAAGTCTAAATCTCTCAGCTGAATGCACAGAGGCTGGGAAGATCAAGGGGCAGGGCAGTGATTCATGAAGGTAAACAATAAGGATGACCAACCTGTGATCTGCATAAAAGTCTCAGCATCCCAAGATTATGTTTATAGAATCTTGTGATAAAAGCAATAGTAATAACACTTAGACTTATATAACCGCTTTACAGTGCTTTTACAGCCCTCTTTAAGCGGTTTACAGAGTCAGCCTACTGCCCCTAACAATTTGGGTCCTCATTTTATCCACCTCAGGAGGATGGAGGGCTGAGTCAACCTTGAGCCTGGTGAGATTTGAACTGCCAAATTGCAGGCAGCCGGCAGTCAGCAAAAATAGCCTGCAGTACTGCACTCTAACCACTGTGCCACCACAGCTCATAAAAGGGACCTAATCTAGCCAGGGTTTTTTTGGGGTTTATTTTTTATTGAAAAGTTAAGTGACAGGGAAGCATGAGGCCTCTTAATGGCAACTGCTACACCCACATGCTTAATCTCTCGAAGGAACTGATTCCGACCACAAAACAATTTTAGAGTTTGTCATGTTTGAGCAATTTGCCTCCCAGTAGTCTCTTGCTATTCTTCACACTCCCAGCCCTAAAAGAAGTTTAAAATGTTCTGTTCCACCCTGTTCTGACAGCATGTTATCAGATAGCTTCCTGTGACTCACTAAAAAGTGGGGAGGTTAAACTGTAGACCCCAAACATTGTCCATCAGTGAAGTAACAGGCAGGTCCTGATATCTAAATACACTTTTCATAGTTATTGTAACTGTTTCTTGTTTATTGGGTTTTTCTTAGATCTTGATAATGAAGACAATAAAATCAGAATAGCACCTCTATAAAAAAGAGGAAAAATAATGAAGAAGAGGAGGAATGAAAAAAAAGGAGCTTTTCAATTCTATTACAATTTAGTTACAATCATCATCTTCTTTTAATGACCCCATAATCCCTTGCAGGATGGAGTCTGGGCAACTGAATGGAGCTGAGTGTTTACTGGCCGAATGCCCTTCCTGTTGCCAATGTGGAGTTATATTCAGCAGATATATTCTCATCGTGCCCAGAGAGAGAAATATCTGCCTCTACCTAGGATGGAACTCACAGCCTCCTGATTGTGAGGCGAGGACACCACCTCTAAACCACCACACCATTCTCTAGTATTTAGTTACTAGACATGTTACTAGACATGACCTGTAGGAAATGGGAGATCACTCGAACTTTACCGAAAGGTGGGCTTTGAAGAAGAACTTATAGGAGAAACGGTCTTCTGGAAACATTCTCAAGAATAATTCTAAGCATAAGAATCAGTAAGGAAAAAGGATACAATTGTCAGAAGGTCAAGAAGAATCTAACATAGGTGCATCAAATGGAGTGAATGTCCAAGACACATGTTTTGCAAGGATTAAAAAAAAAATAAGAACAAGCCAAGAGGAATTTTAAGGAAAAGTTAAGTTAGATGTGAAATAGACTGTTGGAATTGGAATTGTAAAGAGGCAAGTTTTATGTTCATGAGGCACAACGTGCCTGATTTTTATTGCTGCAATCTAGAGAGAGGTGAGATGAGTTGAGATAATGGACCAGAGAGAAATTTGAAGACATCAAGGTGAGCAAAGAACAGTATCACTAGGATTACTTTCCTTTGGAACAAAATCCTGACATTTGTAAAAAATAGATTTTCAAAACACAATGTCCATACAGAAAAAAGAAGCTTTATTTTCTGGATAGAGGAGTGAGGTGGGGACAAGTCAAGAGAATAATCTCATACTCTAAAACAATTAGATAGCAGATTCTCAAGAAAATCTAATTGCTAAGGATAAACTAAACAAGTTTGACTTTTTTATTTTATTTTTTATTTTTTTTTTGTTGAGAGTATGAACAGTTTTAAGGGGAAAATATTTAAAGGTGCCCTATGACTTAAACACTGCATCTCAAGGATAAAACAAAGAATTATTATTTAACAGACCAAGATTAAGACTTGCTTAATCTTATAAATCTCATTCTTTCCATTCAACAACTGATTGTTGCTTGGGAAGAAATACTAGTGGCTCATTTTAAACAAATGTCAAAAGAAAATGATGTTTTGTTAGTTACCCAGTGTATAAATGAACTCTAATGTTGGCATTAGAAAGTAATTTTAAAAGAAACCACTGCAGTTTGCTCAATAAATGAACAGATTAAGTGTACATTCCTGAAGATAGCTTGCAGGGATGTTCATGCTTTTGGAAATGATTCAGAAAGAGTGTTTCAAACGGCAGAGGAGAACAAATTGCAGCATCTCTTTAAACTCACTGTGTCTTTTTTCCCCCCCAGACGTTTTCAATATGGCTGATTTAAAGAGTTGACTCCTTAAATCAATGGTGTTTGTTTTCAGGCTGAACTCTGAGGAACGCATTGCATTCTGCTGCATTGCAGGCTTTCTATGTTCTTCTGAATCATTTTTGAATCATGGCAAGCTTTAATTCTTGCACAGATTATTGATGCCCACTATTGTTCTGTAATAACATCCATGCCAGTAACAAATGATTTCCTGAGCATCCTTAATAATGAAAATTTGGACATGAAACTATATTTTCCTTGTGTCTTAGAGGTAAGTAAGAAGATTCATTTGAGCACCCACAGCAAATACACAGGAGTTTATCCAGATTAGTCTATTTATCCATCTACCCAGACTTAAACTTTTGTAGCTTTCCCTAGTCTCAAGATGGTTTCCATGGTGTGTCAGAATTTGGGGAACTACAGTTCTGAAGATATTATCTGAAGATGAAGTTATTCTACCGCATAGCTCCCAGCAACTGGTAAGATCCCACAGAGTTGGTCTCCTCCGGGTCCCGTCAGTGAAACAATGCCGGCTGGCGGGCCCACAGGGGAGGGCCTTCTCTGTGGCTGCCCGAGCTCTCTGGAACCAGTTACCTCCTAAGGTCCGGACCATCCCCACCCTATTGGCCTTCCAAAAAGCGGTGAAGACCTGGCTTTTCCAGCAGGCCTGGGGCTGTTGATCTTGCTCTTGTGATCCAGCGAGATCTGGCCATGAATGGTGTGAATGAGTTTTAATGTTTTTAATGTTTTTAATTTTTAAATGTTTTTTATAATGATTTTAAATGCATTGTGAGCCGCCCTGAGTCTTCAGAGAGGGGCGGCATACAAATTGAATTAATAAATAAATAATAAATAAATAAGATGGGTGCCAAATTTGGAAAGGCCTGATTTATTCTGAATAGCACTGATTCCCTACATCATCTGATATGGAGGGGTGGCCAATATCTTTTACTTATCTGTTAAACTGGGATTGCTAAAAGTAGTATCTTGGATTTTCTTCATGTAAAGCCATCTCATGTAAAGCCATGGTGGTGCAGTGGTTAGAATACAGTACTGCAAGCTACTTCTGCTGCCTGCCGACTGCCTGCAATTTGGCAGTTCGAATCTCACCAGGCTCAAGGTTGACTCAGCCTTCCATCCTTCTGAGGTGAGTAAAATGAGGACCCAAATTGTTGGGGGCAATAGGCTGACTCTGTAAACCGCTTAGAGAGGGCTGTAAAGCACTGTAAAGCAGTATATAAGTCTAAGTGCTATTGCTGTTGCTATTGTTGTCCTATCACACTCTGTACTGCTGTTTCCAAGGAGCCCAAATCAAATATTTAATATCTATTCTGAATAGTCAGGATATTGCCAGATAAAACTTTGGATTGAATTGGTGGAGAAATTGATGATTGACCGATTCATTGAAAAATATAAGATGGATTTCATTGCTATCAACAAACCCCAAAGCAGTATTAGTAGTGGAAACAGCTCTTCTAGTAACACTGCCAGCATTATAGAGATCTGTTTGATACATCACATTAATTGCTTAACACTGGTTTGCTGAACAAGCTGTAATCATTTCATTTCTCATAATGCACTAAGCCAAAATAAAACAAATTATACAATAGCTTAGTGGAATGCTTAAATCCAATTTATCTCCCTGCTGTGGTTCTCAATTGATTTTCAGTTACTTCCTCCTCTTTTTTAAAAAAATAGATTAACAATTATTTACCAAGACCGGGCTTGTGACTGATTCCCAGTTGGTTTCAGATGCAACAGGCTGAAGATCATCCTGAAGACCAAAGAGAAACACATATACACAGACAACAACAACAACAACAACAAAAATAATGTCAGGGGGTATTTTCTCTTTTCTTTTCTGAAAGCATCAGTTACACAGCTGATCCATCCTTCATATCCCTTTACTCTTCCTCACTCTTAGTTTGTATTAGGAATAAACCCTGGCATTTTATCTTCTAGTAAGTCACAACTAGACAATATGCCTCGTTTTTATACAAAAAGAAAAAGAGTGCATAAATATCTGCATTACTATTAATCCCATCATTCCCACCACCCATCTCCTTCCACTTATGACTGTATGACTGTAACTTTGTTGCTTGTATCCTTACGATTTATATTGATATTGTTTCCTGATTGCTTATTTGTACCCTATGACTATCATTAAGTGTTGTACCTTATAATTCTTGAAGAACTTATCTTTTCTTTTATGTACACTGAGAGCATATGCACCAAGACAAATTCCTTGTGTGTCCAATCACACTTGGCCAATAAAGAATTCTATTCTATCTATTCTATTCTATCTAAATGCAACTAGCTCTTTAAAAAGGGCTAATAATTTTGAGCAGAAAATTTATGTGGCTTGCCTTAGAGGATTGCACCAAAATAGAAAAGTCTATATTTGTTGTCTTTGTTTCTCTGACAGGAGCCACTGCCTAACAGCAGCTGCACTTACTGCATCTGGATGCATTAAGCTATTATTAAAAACACAGGAGCAGCTCCACAGACAAAAGAGAAAAAATAACATTTTCTCTGACTAAGGCAAAAAAATAGGCAGAGGTGTTTCCGGTGCTTGAGACAGAACATCCAAATAGCACCTCACGGGGATGCCCAAATGGCTAAGCCAATTGAGTGGAAACAGACATAAATTAAAAGTAGACAAAAGAACTCTGAATATGCCTGACAATGGAAGGAGGAAGATTACGGTGGTGGAAAAGGAGCAGGCAATCTAAGAGGAGGAAAAAAAAAAAAGGAGGGGGGAAATCAAAAGAGAAAGAAATCAGACGAAATCAAAGAACAAAGAAGGAAGAAAAGGAAACAGTGTTAGTTCTATTTTCAAAAGCCACAGCTTCTGTAAAATCCAAACGTAGAATTTATATTGCAACCCATTTTCTTACCTAGCAGCAAACGGATCCATTACATATCCATAAGTGTAAGGTTAATAGTTGTTTTCTTTCAACCGGCTAGTGAAGTATTGAAGTTGATTTCTTTTCCTTTCACATCAAATATTGGCAATTCACACAATTCTCCCACTGGTTTATTATCGTAATATAGAACAGTGTTTCCTAACCTCAGCAATTTTAAGATATGGGGACTCCAACTCCTGGAATTTCCCAGGATTTTTTTGAATTCTATAATCCAGGGGTGAAATGTAAAATTTGTTACTACCGGTTCTGTGGGCGTGGCTTAATGGTGGTGGTGGTAATGTGATTGGGTGGGCGTGGCCAACTTTTTTTTTTAACTTTTCAAAGCATTTTTTCTAATGCTTTGAAAAGCCTCTGCCGATCAGGCAACTCAGCTGGGATCGTCAGAGACTTTTCAAAGCATTTTTTTTACCACCTCTTCAGCCAAGAAGTTGCAGAAAAAAATGCTTTGAAAAGCCTCTGATGATTCCAGCTGAGCCGCACGATCATCAGAGACTTTTTCTTTTTACTTTTAAAAGCATTTTTTGGTTGGAAGAGGTTGTAGAAAAAATGCGTTTAAAAGTAAAAAAAAAAAGCCTCTGATGATCGTGCGACTCAGCTGGGTATGGGGGGTGGGGAGCAGGGATTTTTGCTACCGGTTCTCCGAATCACCCGCCACCATCACTACCGGATCGGGTGATCTGGTCTGAACCGGGAGCATTTCACCCCTGCTATAATCCTTTATGTAATCTCAAATGATGTTGTCCTATCTAGCATCACAGAAAACTGTTATCCTTATACCATAGTCTACTCTATGCATAGAACCAATTGGAGTGCTTTTTTCCCCCTTGGCCCTATGCTGAGAAGTTATGAGATATATATTCCCCCCCCCACCCCCACACCCAGACACTGCCTCTTCCCAATGTTGCACTTGAACTGGCCCTTAAATATCCAGCAGTCCCATTCCCCCCCCCCTCAGAGAGTGTAGCTTCTGCCTACACAGCACAGTGGCGATAAATAAACAAGTCCCTTTGCAATCATCATTGTTGCCTTGAACACTAATGTTACCATGGTACCATGCAACTGCACAACACTTTCATCATTTGGAGCAAAAGCAGATCTGCCATGTTGGGTCCATTTCTGCCTTCATCTGATAATGTCCTTTTCTTTTAAAAATAATCCTAAATTAAAATGAATTGGAATGCATATTTTAAATATACTTTGGGAATATTTTTAAATTAATTGTCTCAAATTCACAGAATGAAGGAAGAGATGGAGAGGAGATGATTGATGATAGACAGAAAGATAGAGAGATAGAGACAGACAGACAAACAGATTCTGACTGTCCTTGTGATAGATACATAGATGATAGCTAGCTAGCTAGATGATGATGAAAGAAAGAGAAAGAAAGAAAGAAAGAAAGGAGAAAGAAAGAAAGAAAGAAAGAAAGAATGAAAGAAAGAAAGAAAGAAAGAATGAAAGAAAGAAAGAAAGAAAGAAAGAAAGAAAGAAAGAAAGAAAGAAAGAAGCTGTCAATTTGTGAGATACACAGATGATAGCTAGTTATCCCACCCACCAGCCAGATAGGTAGGTAGGTAGGTACTGTGTAAAATATAAGATCCTGTCTTATATTTTTTGAACCCCGAAATAAGCACTTGGCCTTATTTTTGGGGAGGTCTTATTATTTTGGGGAACATGGAGGAAGATGGCACATCCTCTTGCCGTCTTATCTGATTTCCAGGTCTGCGTTTAAATATTTTCGGGGAGGGCTTATTTTCGGGAGGGAGGCTTATTTGCGCTCAAAAGCCTGAGGCTTTTTTTCGGGGGGGGGAGGCTTTTGAGCTGCATGCGCTCAAAAGCCTGATTGGGCTTATTATCAGGGGATGTCTTATTTTCGGGGAAACAGGGTAGGTAGGTAGGTAGAGACAGACAGACAGACAGACAGATAGAGACGACCCATTTATAACAAATGGATAGTTAGACAGATAGGCAGGTAGCATTACACAGAATGAAAATATTTGGCCAATATGAAAGCCAGTATATATCCAGTATATACTTTGGCTTGGCTTATTAATTGGAAAACTGTTGTTCCTGGCTAAACATACCCCTCCTAAAAAAAGTTCTTGCATATTTCTTTTGGGGAAAAAAATCATACAAACCCAAAACTTCACGATAATTCTACTTTTGAAAAAAAAAAGGAAGTTGGAGAAATGGGGTGGAAAAACTACTAAGTTATTTTTGAGCTGCTTAATGGGAAATAAATGTGGGATTTTTCCTACACTCCCTCTACCTGATGCTGCACCTTAAATATCCAGGAGCCACACATGCTCAGAGCTGTTGAGGAAACTGGCTGCCAATGTACATTACTAGCTATAATTCCTTTAATTAGTGATGACTATGTTACGAGTAATATGAAATGATGTACTGGATGTCTATTAATTCTCCCTGCCATAGTTACTTGTTGTAATAGGAAGGAGAGTATGATATTCCAAAATCTTATCAAAAATATATGAAAGTTTTCAGCTGCAATTAGAATCAAGGACAGCCTGAGCTTTTTATTATTATTATTATTATTATTATTATTATTATTATTATTATTATTATTATTATTATTATTCATATTTCTATGCCGCCCACTCTCCAAGGACTCTGGGCAGCCTACACCAAAGACAGTATACTAAATAGCATATTGCCCCCAACAATCTGGGTCCTCATTTTACCCACCTCGGAAGGATGGAAGGCTGAGTCAACCTTGAGCCGTTGAGATTTGATCCTCTGATCTGCTGAACTAGCAGTCAGCTGAAGTAGCTGCAGTACTGCACTCTAACCACTGCGCCACCTTGGCTCCTTTTCTATTTATGGAAAGCAAATTGTGTTAAAGAATAACACAATTTTTAAAAAGAAGGAATCTTCTCTTATTAAAGAGAAGATTTTTTCTACACAAAAGGTTAGATGGTCAGAGAGAAAGATTCAGTTCTAAGTTTTTGGGGGGTTTTTTTTGTATCAGAAAACATTCAACTCCCAATTCCTCATTGGCTATTTTTTCCTCATAAGACAATTCTGCAAGTTGGACTGGAAAAAAAAGAAAGAAATGTTGCACCAGGAAATAAAAAGGTGTTTGACCTCGGGGGAGGCGGGGGGGGGAGGGGGGCATAGCCAGGGTGGGCATGGCCAACTTGCCATCACTTGTGTCGGGGGTGCCTGTGATGGCTCAAGCACTCTTCCAGAGAAAATGGGTTCCTGAGCTCTGTTTTCGCTGTGACAACCTCCTGTGGGCGTCCCTCCCAAGTTCCTTTTTTGCTGGTAGAGGCCCCACGGGCTGGTCCTTTGCTGTTTCCAGGGCAGTCCCAAGGGCCAGATCTAACCACCCTGCAGGCCGGAGCCTTCAGTTTGATACCCTTGTTGTACAGGAATTCAAGGATTCCTTAATTCAAAGCATTGACTGGCAAACTTGATATATACGGAACATTTGTCAGAGTCTACTTTGGAGATGATAGCAGCATGATAATTCTTGTCACTGCCCTCGTCACCTTCTCTCTACTATTACATTTTCAATGGTCATCTGACCATATGATGATTGGATGATGATACCCTGTTCCATGGTCTGACAATTTTTGTCAAAAGGAGATAAAAGATGATGATGGGGTGTAAGGGCTGGCAATTGCTTTGTAGAATTTGAGTTGGAGTCGAAACTCAACTTCCGTGATTGCTAAGTCTTAATTTGGCCTAGTGCAGTGATGGCGAACCTTTTCGGCACTGAGTGCTGAAAAGGTCACACAGAAATGTCGCGTGTATGCTTGTCAGGGCCACACTCCAGAAAAGCCAAACTTCCAGGTTCTAGTGCGCATGTGCGCCCAATGATCAACAGTTT